CTGGTTGTTTATCTACTTCTTATTGACTGGGAGGAGCTCTTTGATAACCTTTCTTTCTAATCTAAGTCTTTCAATTGATTTTTAATGGTTGCATGTATTGCAAGTATCTTTCAGTCTGAGGTTTATCTTTTAACTCTGTATGGAGTCTTCTCTCTCACACACGTTTCCTATTTTAGCACAACCATATTTCTCAACCTTCTCTGGTTTTCTGTCTTGCTAAAGAAAGCCTTCCTACCCCCAAGTTCATAAAAAGATGGTCCGAATATTTTCCTAAGAGCGCACACGTTTTGTTTTTCAGTTAGGTGTTTAAGCCATCCCATTCAGCAGCTAAGGAAATGGAGGGGCAGAGACACTGAGCAACCAGTCTGAGATGTTCCCGTCAGCAAGTCTGAGTTCATAAGCACACACATCACCATGTTGTACACGCCCCTTTAGAACGCGCTGTTCTCTCAGCGTTCCGTCATGGGGCGCTACCCACAGTGCTACATGAGGCCTAGTTCGTGCATTTAACTGCTTCTCTAGGGTCCGCCCCGTTGTCCAGATAAGTGGGCTTATTTACCCATTCCCCGGCAGGGCGGGCGGCATGCTCCTGTCCCTTCCCCACTAGAAGAAGCACTGCTGTCATGCAATGAACACTGTCGTCCGGGTCCCCTGTACACGTGAACTAGCTGTCCTCTGCAACATGCGTCCAGAAATGGCACTGCTGAGTTGAAGGGTATTAACTAAATATCACGAAATTGTTCTCCGAAGCAGCTGTCTGTATCACACCCCTCCCCACATGCTAAGAGTTCCCCTTTTCCCAAATCCTCGTTAACCTTCACCATCGACAGCTATATTTTTCCAATTGAGGGGGATGAAATGATTTCTCATTTTATTTTGCATTTCTCTGATTACTAGTGAAACCGAGCACCTTTTCATATGTTTATTGGGCATCCTGCCCATTTTTCTTCCCTGTTGTTCATTAGTCCTTATTGATTTGGGGCAGCTCTTTCTAAAATCATTCTTCTCTCTGTGAAATTAGGGTCTCATTTTGCATATGGACAGCCTGCTAATGGATGGGCCACCCTCACTCCTTGTAGGAGGCAAAGTTATGCTCCCACCCGAAACATCCACATCCAAGGCAAGTGGGGAGATGTCCTGGGCGGCCTGGGCGGCCCAACGCGATCACAGCAGTCCTCATAAGTGAAAGGGAGGCAGGGCACTCAGAGCCAGAGAGAGATTTGGAAACACTACCCTGCGCTCTGGAGACAGAAGAAGGGGCCAAGGATGCAGGTGGCCTCGAGCAGCTGGAAAAGGCAAGGAAACAGGTTCCAGCCAGCCCTGCCCACACCTGGATTTTAGCCCCTAAGATCATTTTGGACTTCTGACCTCCAGAACTATATGACAGTAAGTTCATGATGTTTTAAGCCACATAATCTGTGGTTATTACCACAATAACAGGAAAGTAATACACGCTATCTTTGCACCAATACCATGCTGTTCTAGTTACTATGACTTCATGGGAACTTTACAAATCAAGAAAGATAAAGCCTCTTCTTCAAAATTGTCTCAGCTATTCTGGACTATGTAGTTGTTTAATTAAAACAAAAGGATATCTTAAAAGGAAGCCCGATGGAGACACAGTCCAGGCAGAGCGCATGGGCCAGGAGTCCAGGTCATGAGCACACACGGCACGGTTAGTGTGATCGCAGCAGCACAGGGCGGCTGGGAAAAGGTTCCAGACCACTGGACCGCCAGCCCTGGGGGTCGGTGATTTCAGCAGCCTGGGAGCCATTAACAGTTGCTAAGCCTTCTGTGTCTGGCCAAGACGGGCTAACAGTCCCCGGATTTATCCTCCCATCTGGAATAAATTTTTTTAAAACTGAAAAAACATATATAGCAATGGTTTCCAAGACACTGGCACTCAGGCAACAAAGAGCAATCCTGAGCAAACAAGAGAGGTGAGCCCGGCAACTGCCCCAGCTAACGGTGTTTCTTGAGTCTGCAGGTCATGGTGCAGGGCGGGGAGACCCAGACAGAGCACGGCAAACCCTGATTTCAGAAGACAGAGCCGAGAGCCCAAGGAGACCAAGGAAGCTGGAATTTGCAGGGCCAGGCGCCAGGCAGGATGAGGGGCACAGAGAGAACCCTCCTGTCACTGAGTTCCCTCCAGGATTCAGCAGGTTACTGATCAGGAGACCACCCAAGGCCGGGAAAGAGCCACCTGAACAGTACTTGGTGCTCACGTGGGACTAGGAATCAGCCAACTGGTAAACCTCATACTTCAAGGACCATCGGGCAGAGAATTCAGAGTCTTGTCACATCACGGGGACTAATCAGGCCTAGACTGAAGGCACTTCCGGTCCCATCTAACAAATCTCAAGGGCAAGGCCTGAAAGGATCAAACTTCCCAAAGCTCCAGAGTGTTTATCACACACCAAAATACTCAGCACCCAGTAGGAGGAAGTTCACAATACCTGGAATCCAATAAAAAATTACCAGGCATGCAAAGAAGCAGGAAAATACAACCTGAATTAGGACAAAACTCCATCAATCAAAACTGACCCAGAACTGACAGAGGTACTAGGACTAGCAGACAAGGATCCTGTAATAGTTGCAACTGTATTTCCTATGCTCAGCATTAGAGAAAACATTGAATATGCTGAGTCCAGACGTGGAAAATATACAAAAGACCCAGACAGCACTTGTGCAGATGAAAACTGCAGTATCTGAGATGAAAATTTCACCAGGTGGGACTGATGGCAGACAAGGTGAGTGAACCTGAAGACACAGCAGCAGCAACTACCTAAAATGAAACCGTCTATCTAACGAGAGGTGAACAGAGCAAGGGTGAGCCGTGGGGCAACTGGCACGTGTGTAACTCGGGGCCCCAGAAGAGAAGAGAGGCAGGGAGACGGAAGGAAATGTTTGAAGCAATAAGGATCCAAATGTTTTCAACTGTGATGGAAATCATAAACCCAGAGATCCAACAATTCTGCTCAATGAACCCCAAGCAAAAAAATGAGTTAAAGGACAGTTCTGGGAAACAGAGGCAAATCCCCTCATGGAAACAGACGGGACAACCAGGAAAGCAAAAGCCCACAGACCACACCGCGGCTGATCCAGGACAAAAGAAGCCATGACGGGGTCATCCCATCAGAGTTTATAATTACTGTGATTAGAAGGTTTACAGACATAACTAGATACTCGTGTCCAGTGCCGTAACTACATCATAAATCAAACATTTGAAGATTCCTTTCCAGTAAAGGTAATTATATTTTTCCCTTAGAGCTAGCTACATAGGTTCCTTCTCTAAGAAAGGGGTCTATTTCCACAGACACAGGTAAACTATGTTTATCACATTTCACTGCTGTCCTTTTAAGTAACTTAATCAAAAACCAGAGTAATCCTGTTCATTTTAAATCACAAAATATATCTATTTTTATAATCTAGGACACTATCCTTCTTTCACATTTATGTTTCCTAGAGGTTGATATTTGTTCTATTTTTTAAATGTAAATACATGTCAAAGATGTCAAAGAAGGAAAGACACCAGATTTAAAACAGGGAATGGGTTAGAAATAAACTTGGCCCTTGGTTTGGTATTTTTTAAACTATTCATTCTGTGCCATCAATGCATTCAACTTTATCAAATAAAATTGGAAATTTATTCTAAACTGACAGGAAAATGCATGCCTACTACCCACCACCGCAAGGGATTCTGGCAGATATTCTGGCAATTTCTCAAGGACAAGCACTGCTGTATATTTCAGTCCCACTTACGTAAGATGTTTTTTAATGTACACATCGGTGGTAAGCAGCAATCCTGAGAACAGGCTGGTAAGCACAAAATGCAAAAACTGAAAGAACAAAACAATTCAAACCATGGAATGCCCTGGCTTTCTGAAAAGACCATTAAGTTTTGGTACCTGAATGTTTTTAGATATCAAGTGTGCAGCTTCCACCAACTGAAAAATTAAATGCAACAAGACCAGTTTCCAGAAACTACCATCTCAACTCAAAAAAAAAAAAATCACTCCCAAAGGACACTCACTGGTGTCCCTGCCCAGCAGGACCGGCAGCCGAGAGAGACAGGCGAGCCTTCCCTGGAGACCCAGCATCATGTCAGGGGAAAGCCACCAGGAGGGGGAACGAACACGGAGCTCCCCTCTACTGGCTTACACATTTCTGCATTCCCTATCTTTCTACCTTTCTAAGAGTCTAACCACTGTGATCTAGAACATCCTTTCAGCTGGCGAGAGCTCTAGAAGCTTAAGAGTCGGGGGTTCCATGCTCACTCGTGAACTTCTCCAACACTCCCTTCTCACTTCCGCGCCTCTTTTCGCCACGGGTGGAATTCTCAATGAGGATGCGGGCTTGGTGGTCCTTAGGCACAAACGAGGGAGCCCCAGACACAAGGTACTGGCCACGGCAGGTGCTGAGCCAGCCCAACACGAAGCTGAGGCTGCAATCGGTCCTTAGCCCCCTACACGCACGTGGACCCATCCGCACCCACGGGAGGGACATCGCTCCGCTGATAACCCCGCTCCTTTTCTTAAAGCCACACCCTGAGGTCAGACTCCCCACTCTTGGACAGGGCTTCAAGGGAGTGGAAAGCGTTTTTTAAAAACAACAAACTCATGGCTACATTAGTCACGCAAAATAGAGCTGGCAGTCTGTGGCTTTCGGCCAATCTCTAATTCCCGAGCCCCGTGTTTGCAGGACAGCCATATGAAGGGCACTCTAGGTGTCACCCACAAACCTTCCACGGGCCTTTAGTCAGGGAGCTGCAAGGACCTGGGCTGAGGGGTAGCTGAGGCCCAGCTGGCACCTGCTGGGCCCTGCTTCGCACCATCCAATGCTCCGCCCCCACAGCAAGCAAACACTCAACCAAGTGATTCAAACTCAAGCAATCTGTGTCGACTCCGTGATCAATGTTGCTGTGTGGACTAAGTACTTTCCCTGGGAACAGACGGAAGTCATGCTGTGCACTCGAAAGTCAGCTTTCTGCAAACACTTACTTGAAGGAGACGTGGGTGGCTTCCTGGAGGGCCGCCGCTCTGCCTTGGGGCTGCTGCCGTGCCCTGTGGGTGTGTCCAGGTGCCCTTCGGGGCTCAATGAGTACTGGAACTGGACTGTCCCCGACTCCACCTGCTTCACCTGCAATGGACGACAGCGAGCGCAGTGAGGGCCACGCTCCCTCATCAGGATCCTTTCACCAGAATTTGTCCAGGAACAATGCACCCAGCCCCGAACATCTACGTCAAGTCAGGGATTTCTGAAGCCACAAGTAATTTTCTGAGCAGAAAACAGCTGGCTGTGGCATTAAAACCCCAGAAGACCACATCAGAGAACAGCCCTTATGCAAGAAGGAATCACACGGTTTCTCCAGGTTTGAGTGTGCTTTCTTTCATTAACCTATGTGAAACTGACTTTTTAAATTCTGGTGAACAGTAACCACCTCACTCAGGGCATGGAACAGCTCCACCCCCAAAACACTCCCTCACACGGCCCCTTGTGCAATCACTGAGCTGAGCTCCATCCTACAGTCTGGTGTTTTCGAGAACGTCATATACATGGAATGGTACAGTACGTAAGTGTCTTCTGAGACTGGCTTCCTTCACTCATCTCACTGCTGATGAGATTGATCCAGGTCACAGTACATAACAATCGTTCATTCCTTTTTATTGCCAAGTAGTATTCTACTTTTAATGTCCTGCAGTTTATTTATCCATCTATCCATTTAAGAACATCTGGGCTGTTTCCAGCTCCTGCTATTATAAAGAGAGCTGCCATAAACACTGGTGAATATATTTCTGTAGGAGTGTAAGTTTTCATTTCTCAAAGTTTCATTTCCCTAAGAATAGTATTGCTGCTGCGTTATACAGTACGTATATATTTCATTTTATAGGAAACTGCCAAGCTGTGATTTACTTCCGGACTCTATTCTGTTCCATTAATCTATGTGCCATTCCTCTACCCATAGCACTTTATATTGATTGTCACAGCTTTACTGTAACTTGAATTGGTGCAGTATGATTCCTCCAATTTTAGTGTTCTTTTCAAAATCGTTTTGACTCTTCTAATTCTTTTCCCTTCCTATATAAGTTTTAGAATCAGCTTATCTATACGTACAAAAAAAAAATCCTGCTGGGGTTTTGATTGAAATTGCATTATCTATTGATCAACTAGGAGAGAATTTCTGTCTTTATTGAGTCTCCCAATCCATAAAGATGTATGTTGCTCTACTTCTTTCGGTCTTCTTTGATTTCACCGAAGAGAAACCACAATGAGCACAAATGACATGGAGCTAAAGGAATGTTTTACAGTTATCATTGTCCAGATCTGTACATATTTCATTAGACTTATTTCGTTGAGGGGAGGCCTTTGTAAATAACAAAGGTTTTTTAAATTTTGCTTTCTAACTTTTCATCGCTACTATACAGAAATATAATCGATTTTTTTCATATTTGACCTCCTGTTGTATCCTGCAATCTCGATAAACCCTAAATAAGAGTTTTTTTGTAGCTCCCTTGCAATTTTCTACATAGACAACCATGTTGTTTGCAAATAGGGACAGCTTTGTTTCTTCCTTTCCAGCCCGTACGTCTTCTATTTTGTTTTCTCGCCTTATTGCACTGGCTAGAGCTTCCAGCACAATGATGAATGAGATTCTGAATGCTAGGAGTGGACATCCTTTACTCGTTCCTGATCTTGGGGGGGGAAAGCATTCAATCCTTCCCCATTCAGTATGATGCTAACTAACGGGGTTTTGTGGATGCCCTTGATCAGATTGAGGAAATGCTCTTCTACTCCTGACTTGCTCAGTTTTTATCATAAGTGGATGTTAAATTTTGTCAAATGCTTTTTCTGCATCTACTGCCATCATCATATGGTTTTCCTTCCATAGGCTGTTACTATGGTGAATTACATTTATTTTCAAAAAGAAAATAGCCTTGCATTCCTGGGATAAACCCCCACGTGGTCATGCTGTATTATTTTTTTCCATGTTGTTGGTTTAATTTGCTAATATTTTGTTGAGTATTTTTCATCTGTGTTCATGAGGAATATGTGTCCACAGTTTTCTTTTTCTGGTTCTGATACTGGGGTAACACAGGCCTCATTATATGAATTGGGAATTGTTCCTATCTCTTCTATTTCTGGAAGAGATTATATAAAATTGGTATTATTTCTTCTTTAAATGTTTAGAATTCATAATGAATAGGCGTGGATATTTCTTTTTCAAAAGTTTTTTAACTATGAATTCAATTTCTATAATAATTATAGGACTACTCAGGTTATCTACTTTAGCTTGGGTGGCTTTGGATAGTTTGTTGTTTAGGATGAATTGATCCATTTCATCTAAATTGTCAAACTTATGGGCACAGAGCTGCTCACAGTATCCCCTTAGTATCCGTTTAATACCTGCATGGTCTATAGTGACATCCCCTCTTTCATTTCATATTAGTAATTGAGTCCTCTCTTTTTCCATCTTGCTAGAGGTTTATCAATTTTATTGATCTTTTCAGAGAATCGGTTTTTGGTTTCATGGTTTTCTCCATTTTTTTCTCTACTGTTTTTCTGTTTTCAATTTCACTGGTTTCTGCTTTTATCTTTGTTATTGACTTTCTTCAGCTCGCTTTAGGTTTATTTTGCTCTCCTTTTCCCAGTTTATAAAGGCGGAAGATTAGATTATTGATTTGAGAACTTTCTGTTGTAATATAAGCACTTAATGCTATAAATTCCACGTAAGCACATTTTAGCTACTTCCTACAAATTCTGGTAAGTTGTATTTTCATTTTTGTTCAGCTCAAAATATCATCTATTTCTTCCTTTAGGTTTCTGCTTTGACTGTGGATTACCTGGGAATGTATTGTTTCTTTTCCAAATGCTTGTAATTTTTATGGTATCTTTGTTACTGATTTCTACTTGAATTCCATTATGACCACAGAACACACCTTGTATAATTTCAATTCTTTTAAAATTGTCAAAGTTTGTTCTGTGACCCAGGATATGGTCTATTTTGGTGAATGTTCCATGTGCACTTGAAAAGAATGTGTTTTCTGCTGTCGGTGGGTGGAGTGTTTTATAAATGTCATTTAGATCCAGATGGTCCGTGACGACGTTCAGCTCTTCCAGGTCCTCAGTAATTTTCTATCCGTGTGTAACACAGTTTCCCCCAAGAGGGCTACAGAAGCCTCAGGCTACCACTGTGACTCTGTCTGTCTCCTTCAGCTCCAGCAGCTTCTGCTTTGTGTGCTTTGAAGCTCTGTCGATCTTAGATGCACACCCTTTTAAGGTTATATGTCTTCTTGGTGAACTGACTCTTTTGTCATACGTAATATCCTCTTAACTCCTGGAAATGTCCTTTGCTCCGATGTCTATTTTGTCCGGTGTTAGTATGGCCACCCCAGTTTTCTTCCTATTAGTGTTTCCATGGAATGTTTGCATTCTTCCACTTTTAACCTAGCTGCGTCATTAGATCCGAAGTGAGTTCCTCAGAGACAGCATTTGTTTGGATCTTGATTTTTTTTTTAAATGCAATATGACCATTTCTGTCTTTAAATTGGTGTGTTTAGACTATTTACATTTTATGTAATTATTAGTATGTTTAGATTCAGGACTATCATTTTATTATTATTTGTTCCTTTTGTTTTTCATTCCTGTTTCCCCTTTCCTGCCTTCTTTTCAATTATTCCATTTTCTCTATCAGGTTTTTCACTACCTCTTTGTATTGTATTTTTAGTGATTGCTCTGGATTACCATATGTATTTGACTTTTCACAGTCTGCTCAGAAATGATATTTTATTACTTCAAGTGGGATGTAGAAACCTTATCACCATATAGGTCTCTTTACTCTCTCCTTTATGTTACCTATTCTACCTTAATACCTTACCAATCCTATCATTTATAATTTTTGCTTCAACCATCGAACATATTTTAAAGAACTCAAGAGGAGGAGAATACTGTATTAAATTTATCATTTCTGTTGCTCTTTCGTCATTCCTAATATACCAAGTTTCCATCTGGTATCATTGCTCTTCTATCTGAAAAAACTCCTTTAACAATTCTTTTAGAGCATGTCTACTGCCAATTCATCTGAAAATGCCTTTGTTTTACCTTCTGGATACAGAATACTGAGTTCTAGAGTCTTTCTGCTGCTGCTTTTCAAATGCTGCTCCATTTCCTTCTGGCCTCCATGGTTCCTGCTGAGGAATCCACAGTCACAGATACTGTTTCTCCGTAAGTAATGCATCATTTTTCTATGGCTGTTTTCAATTCTTTTTCTTTGTATTTATTTTACAGCAGTTTGATTATCATGTGAATAAATTACTTTATTTATCACTAGGGTCACTGAACCTCTTTAATCTGTAGGTTTCTGTCTTTTGCCAAACTTGGGAAGTTTTCAGCCATTATTTGTTCAAATATTTTTTCTTCACTATACTCTTTCTCCTCTACTGGGACTTTGGTAACACAGGTGTTAGCCTGTGTACTGTCCCATAGGTCCCCAAGGCTTTGTCCATTGTCTCCCACCCATGTTTCTCTCTGTGGTTCAGAATGGATAAATTCTATTAATTTATCTTCAAGTTCACTGACTCTTTCTTCTGTCATCACCATTTTGATATTGACCCCATTTAGTGAATTTTTTTATTTTGGCAATTGTATTTTTCAGTTCTAAAGTTTCAATCAGCTGTTCTTTTTTTTAAGCTGAGCCATCCTGCTACCTGTTGGCAGCTCAGCGGCTGCTCAGCTCGGGCTGGGTCTTGAACCGCTGTTGCTCAGAGCTCAAACCCTTGAGCGAGCTCTTAAACAACTGAGCCACTCGGCCAGCCCAATCTGCTCTTCTTTATCTTCTATATCTTTGCTGAGATGTTCTATCTTTCCATTTGTTTCAAAAGTGTCCCTCTTACGTAGTGGAGCATTTTTATACGCCTGCTTGGAAGTCTTTGTCTGAAAATTCTAACATTTGCGACATCTCAGTGTTGTCCTTTCCATGCAAGCTGAGATTTTCCTGGTTCTTTGTATGTCAATTAACTTTATATTGTATCACGGACATTCTGAATATTATGAGACTCTGAGTCATATTTGAATCCCATGAAGGATGTTGACATTTTGTTTACTCAGGAACCAACCCAACTGGGTTCAGGCCACAGTTTCCAATCAGCCTTCTGTGGGCTATGGTTTCAACGTCAGTTCCATTTTCAAAGCCTGTGCAATGAATTTCAGATTTCTCCTGCATGTGACCCACCCAGGGGGCCACTCTGGGACTGGGTGGCAGTCGATCCCAGAGTTCCGTTCTCTAAGCCTTTGATATGCAGTTTAGGGTGAGATTCAGGGGTAGAGGTGCAGATGGGGGCTAACCCGGAATTTCTAAAACAACTTGATGGGATTCCTTTCCAAGCTCCACAACCTCCCTGGTCCTTTCCAGGTCCCGGGGCCCCTTCCCAAGCCTCCAGCCAGACCCTACCGTGCTGCACGCTTCCGGAGATGGTGCCTGAATCCAAGGCCAAGCAGTGCAGGGAGGAGTGTTTTTTTAAAGACGTGCAGGAGTGTACAGAAGAGCTAAAGAACCCATCTATCACTATTGGAAGTCAATATGTAATGTTGAAAATTGATAAACTAAGAAATAGCAGTAAAGCACAATATTTAGGAAGCAACGTAAATACAGTAACTCACAGCTAAGTGTTGAAAGTGGCTGCCTCTAGAGATGGAATATTTTTTAAAAGACAACTATTTGCTCAGGAGTTGTTTAAGAAAGCAAACATAATCATAATATACTACTTACCTTCACAGTAAATAATACGGAAATAATCATAACACAAACCCCAAAATTTACTTAGCCAAAACTTATGGGATTTACTTAGCCAAAAATTTGGTCTGTTTATAATATTTATACTTTACTTTGATGAATATCTGCCACTCCCACTCAACTGTAAGTTCCATGAGATCAGGGACATTTTTTCTAGAGTACGCGTAGGTGCTCAATAAAAATTCACTGAATGAATGAATAAGATAGAGAATTAACTTGGGCAGAGACACAGAATAAGCACACCTCGGTTTCCAACCCGTCGGACTTGGTAGATGCTGGCACTGTTATATAAGGTAGGAAGTACAAGAGGAGCAAACGAGTGCTTTTAGAGTGTGGAAAGTGACTCAAGTGTGTGACCAGCTTTATTCATGATCTCTGTGTAGGATAGTGGTCAGCAGCTAGGGGCACTTTTGCCCCCCAGGAGACATTTGGCAATGTCTGCAGATATTCTGATCTCTCACAACTGGTGGNGAGGCTGGACACTTGGGAAGTGAGTTTTCCTTGGGACAAGCTGCCACTCCACCCTTCCCTGCCATGCTCCCTGCACGTGTGTGTGGGGGGGGAGGCGGGGGGGGGATTGCTGTTGGCATCTAGCGGGTAAGCCCAGGGCTGCGGCTGACCTCCATGCCCAGGACAGCCCCACAGCCAAGGGCTTTCTGGCCCAAAATGTCAACAGTGCTGACAGTGAGAAACTCTGATTATAGAAGTGATATTCCTTGTTTGATGTCCTTGTGTCCTTAAGGTAATCAAACCTTCCAAAGCTTATGCCCCAATATCATTTACACACCTAAAAAAAAAAAATGAATGAAATGTAGTGGCCTGCGAAGGCTAAAATTAAATAGAATACTTATTTAGATATGTACATATATGGACAGAGAGAGAATGAATGAGAGGCTGGCAATGGCTGTAGGCTTTCTAATGGCAATTTTATAACAAAGGCTCTAACTAGACCCTGGGGGAAGGCAGCGAAATGTGGTCCCACAACGAGACATTCCTCATAACAAGAAAAGCTGCACCATCAGCTGCTCCCTTATTCAGGTCCCCAACGCATTGTCCAGATCATAAATAACAACACGGGAAAACAATGTTTGTCGCTAGAGTCAGCACACAGATGACATGCTGAAATACCAGGTATGGTTGCTTTGCCTGAGAAAAATGAGACAAGTGAGTCCTAACAGGTTCCCGTTCGCCTGCTGGGATAGGCCGGGCACATTTCAGGAATGGAAGCAGAAGAATCAAACCACGTACCCAGACAGAAACTCTGCCCGACTCATTAGACACACCGGGGGGCTACAGGCAACAGCAGGGTGCTGGTGTCACGCAGTGTCTGTGGCACCCTGGGTCACCGCTTCCCATGCTGCGAGGCCACCAATACTTCAGCTGGCCCTGCTCCACCTTTCTTTGCTTTCTGAACAGAGGTTCAGAGAAAGTGTCATTTCAAAAGTGGGGTTTTTTTTAAATCCTGCTGTGGCCCCACCTCTCCGCACACAGCTGGAGAGAGCCCAGGTCCAGCGGGCATGAGTGACAAGTCACAAAGACGAGTCAGGCTGGAGCTGACCGCCTGACCCCCGCCAGAGCACTCAGGCCACACGAGGCCCATCCTCCAGTGTACCAAACGTTTCTAGAGCCCTTGTTTAAAAGGCACACACAGCACAGAAGTGGATCTCACTGCTAAGTGTGCACACGTAAGAGTCACAGGCCCTGCAGGTCACCCAGAGACTGACATGGGAACAGGGGTGTTGTAAGACCCGAGATAAAGCCGGCCTCAGAGAGGTCCCAGATAAATGTATGACTCAGCAAGCACACATTTTTTAAGGACAGATCCATGACACGAATGAATTCTGCTCATGAGACATCTGCAAACATCCGTTAACTGGTAAAAATGTATGAACTTTTCTAAAGCGTATGAATCTGCCAGACACTCACGGTACAAGAATCATACTTACGAAGTATTAACAATTTACCTCTTTGGAGCTCATGCTGGCTGGGGGTACCTTATAGACCAGACAGTGTGAGGGGTTGGGCCGGATCCCACCCTGCAGAGGTAACATCACCTTCCCGGAGCTGGCTTCCAGCGAGGGGTTCCAAACAGCCCAGCGAACCATGTGCATACACGCCAGGCTGGACGAGGAGGGAACGGGAGCTGCCTAGAAGGGAAACAAAGCACAGCGGTACGTGAGGAATCACAAAACCCACCCAGTCGGGATTAACATGGTGACGTGTAACTGGAGAGCAGGGCGGCTAGGCAGCAACCATCACTTCTGTTTTACAAAATCAGGAAACAGCATCACGCTGCAGGCGCAGGGCACAAGGCAGCCAGCCTCCCCATCGGAGCCCCCACCGGCCCAGCCCCTACCCCCAGATGGAGGATTCTGAACCATGGGGGTGACATGGGAGGAGAAACCCCATGGAAAGGGGGAGGTGCCCAAATAGACCATGAGCACAGCGTCTCACTTCCTAACGCTCTCTTCACGGGGATCAGGGGGCCACCTGCCCCCACTGAGATGAGGAAAGCAACAGAACGGGGTGCATCGCCACTGTCTCTGGGCAGCAGAGGGAGCAAGGGCCTTCCGTCCCTCTTGACCACTGGCCGCGTGTACCCAGGCAGCCCTACTAAGTGCAGGCCGTGGTCACAGGGAGGGTGGATGGGCTGCCAGGAGGGCCTGGCACCCTTGGAGAGGAGTGGAGGCCCTCGCCCTGCCTGTGAGGGTGAAGAGCACAGCCCCAAGGGAGGGGGGGCCAGGGGAACCCTGATTCCAGCTGCGTCGGGAGCCACAGGGTGGCATGGCTCCAGCAGTGTGGCCGGGCAGTCGACATATCTGTCGATCTGGCTGGACACGGGAACCACCATGCCATTGTCACAGTCAGCACTTGACTGCACTCGGGTCCAAGGCAGGTCGCCACATGCACAGAGGACTCTGGCTGGGCTCCGACACAGACAGCTCATGGTCACACGTGAGCGTGAGTGGGTCCCAATACAGGAAAGGAAACACCTGCTTCACCCAGGCCAGTCTTCTCGGGCCGTTCCTTGCTGGGTGACGTCCCGACCTGTTACAGCCTTTACATCCACGTGGGGAAACACCCAGAATCAGCATGTGGTTTGAATTAATCTCTCCTCCCCGAGTCCCTGTCGTAACTAGACCTCAGGCCACCCGCGGATCCTTTACCGGAGCCAAAGTTCAGATCACAGGTGAGGCTGGGGCCACATTCTGCCCCGTCACGGGGTGAGCAGAGATTTGGGTCCCTGTCAATTCCATGAGGAAAAGAGCCACGTCCTGGAAGGACAAGCAAAAAGTCGGCGAAGTACAAGCCCCCGGCACGTGACTCTGAGCCCCCAGCACGTGACTTTGAGAGTCTGCCAGAGACAAAGACGGCGTCAGCCTTTGCCCTCCAGTGGCTGACAGCTGTATGAACGGCACTCGGCACCACAGTGTACCAGGGAAGAGGTGATTCTAAATCCACTGCTTTTAAAAAATAAAAGTATTATAAATGCAGTAGGAAAACTGGCTGCTAAAGAAACTATAAGGATTCAGTAATATATCACTGGACTGCTTTATAAACACTCATCTATAAAATCCAGAAGGTTATTACAGGATCAAAACGAAATAAAATACGCATCCAAGAGTCCATGCTGTTTGTGTAATCCTTCTGGTTTAATTTTTCAAATTAGGCAATTCTGATACCTAATTTTCCAATTTCACAGTTCCTCGTGGTTTTTAGTTCTCAATCAATACGGCTCTCTCCTGTATGAAATACCTATCAGTTACACACTACCCACTTGCCCTCCCTTTTGTTTTTCACAGCCCAACAAGAAGAGATAGTTAGTGGGTTATTGATCACACCTCCACAAAGGCTTCAGCGGGACAATTAGGGCCTGTGGCAACTCCGCTGCCGTTTGTTCACCGGCATCCTCTCCCAAGCAGCCAGGGTGACACCTGCAGGCAAGAACCTCCCTGAGCAGCCCGTCCCCCGGCTCCAAGGAGAAGGGCAGCTGCATCCAGCATCAGGGAGGCCAAGAGCTATTATTGGTCAACGGGACAAAGGACCTCCTACCAGTGAATTCCAGTGGCTGAGACCAGATCTGGGGGCTTTATAACGCCTTAACCTGCCAAACTAGGCTTGCTTTTTATGCAAACTGAAAAGGAAACAAAAATACATGGACTTGTTCCCATTTAGGCTTTTCATTATAATACCAACCAACATACAAAGGCCAAAGGCCTACAGCTGGATTAGGAGCCAGGTTTGTCACGGAACAGAAGTGCCACGCGACATCCACCAGGCAAAGCACAAACAGAAAACAGACACCTGACCCCTGGGAGTGCTACAATCCAGGGTCCCTGTGGTGTGCTGAACGGTGGCCCCAAAATGACACGTCCACGGCCTAATCCCTGGACTCTGAGACTGTGGGCTCGTTTGGATAAGGGTCCATGCAGACAGAACTGAATTAGTCGTAAGAACTGTGAGATGAGGACATCTAATTACCCAGGGTGGCCCTAAATCCAACGACAAGTGTCCTTGTAAGAGCAGGACCGAGACAGAGGGAGACGCACAGAGGGAACGCCATGTGCAGACGCAGGCAGTGGCTGGGGCGACGCGGCCACAAGCCCAGGGATGCCAGCAGCCCCCCAAAACCTGGAGGAGGCAGGAGGGTCCTTCCCTAGAGCCTCTGGAGGGAGCACAGCCCTGCCCAGCAGAACGATTTGGAGCTGTGACCTCCAGAGCTGTGAAAGGATAAAAGTCTGTTGTTTTAAGCCCCACAATTCATGGCAATTTGTTCCGGCAGCCCCAGGATGCAGATGAGGTCCCCTTGGCAGCTGTCCTCAGTCCAACGCGAAAGTCACTTAGGGGCAGGTAAAAACTTTATGTTATTTCACGGGATTGGTTTTCTTTAGATTTGCAGTGAGACCTTCTTCCTCCTGCCCAGGTCCCCACGCCGGTCGCCTGAGCCCAATCCACAACCACTCTGGGCCCTGCAGCCCCGAGGCCCAGAAACACACTGCAGAGGAGACAGTGGCGCCTGCTGAGGTCACCACCACGACAGAGCTGGGCCCAAAGGACAAACCCTCAATAGGGACAACCACACTGGGGCACTTGGCTGAACACAACTGGGAAAAAAAGCCAAACGGTAGTGTTGAAACAGCTCCAAATGTTCCCAATATCGCACAGATCACAGAGAAAAGAAGAAGCTAACAGACATGAAAAGGGAGAGAGAGAAAGTGAGGTAAGCACAGTACTGATGAGGGAGGCGCAGGGAGGGGCAGGCACCTGGAGAAGGCAGCCGGGGGCCCCGGGCCAGGCACAGGCGTGACCCGCGTTCACATGGTGCAGGCGTGTCCTTTCCGTGCACCGTTCACATGACCCTCACCACGGCCGGAGAATGCCGACCACTGAGGGGCAGCCAAATGTGGTGGGTGGCCTGAGGCCCAAGCCAGACGGTACAGACCATGGAACACCCTCTGGAGGGACGGGTGTCCACCCCCAGTGCCCCGGGCCGGCACACGCACAGCCAGCGGCTCTGGGGACTCAGAACTGGACACGGCACACGGGCAAGGGGCAGGGTCTCTTCCAATGGCTTGTTCCCTGGCTTCTCCTTAAAGGACACTGGGTTCTTGGCCACTGAGGGGAACTACCTGAACCCTGCCGAGGCGAAGAGTTAGGAAAGCAAGGGGCACCCAGGGACCTGGTGACACCACGGGGCAAAGTGGAGGCCCAGGAACCAGAGATCATCAGCCCGAAGTCATTCCTTCCCGAAATGAATCCAGTATCTGCCAACACCTTTTCCAAATTAGACACACAGCAGTCTCGGTGGCTGCTGCAGGCTAATTTGACTCATGCACACTCACAGTGAAAAAGGAAACCTAACAACATATAATTAAAGTCATTTCACATGCCATCAATGACACAGAATGTGCAGTGTCATTTACAAGCAACGTAATCATCCGACGGGCAATATTTTCATCTCATTCTACACAGTAATTATTTTTAAACATATACACAAGCAACGAAAAACAAAGGGAGGATGGTTTAAGAAACTTCTGTAACCCAGCATAACTCTTCATACTGGCTAAACGGTTCATAACACTTCAGCCCTCTTTGCAAAAAAGGTGTCAACTTGACAATGATTGAAAGAAGCAGCCGTGAAACTCTCATGAGTTTGGAGCTGTGACCAGTGAAGTGGACAGCCGTGTGGCTTCCCACCCTTTGGAGACGGAGCCTGGAGCCCAGCAGCCAGTGTCTGAGCACCCCAGGGCCTTTGCATCTGCTTCCTCTGGAGAGCCTGCCCCCTGCCTGGTTCTGCCTCCCCCATCTGCGAGTGGGTCCTACAGAGCCCTTGCCCGCAGCACTCAGGCTTGGCGGCCTGGGATCCTTTCCTATGGGCCCTGCCCCCCACTCCATGGGAAATTCCATGCCCCGGAACAGTGACCAATCCAGGACAGGGATGCACAGTGAGGCCAGTCCTAGTCTTGCCATGAGGGCATCCCTAGGGGTCTTAGGAGAAGGCAGCTCTCTCATTGGGAGTCACCACCCTGGGGGAGCAGTAAACCTGAAGCCATCCAAAGCCACAGCCCCCTGACCTCCACGGCACTGAGAATTCCTGCAGCACAGGACAGAGGCGAACTATAGACAAAGACACAGGGGGAGGAGTCAGGCAGAGGTCATGGAGAGGACTCAAAGGCAGCAGATGTAACAGAAGAAGTCAACCAGCTGGACTCAAAATCAGGACCTTTTGCTCATCAAAAACAGTGCTATCTCTGGGGACAGCCAGTAAAGGGCACCCAGATGGGACCTCTCTGCTTGTTTCTCATAACTGCATGTGAACCTGTAATTACCTTAAAATAAAGCTTAATTTAAAAACCAGTGTGTGGCATATGATAAGAGCTATACAAAGTGCCGTTTAAAATTTTTTTAAATGACTATCTGCACACAAAAAAAAACAAACCTACAATATTAAGTTAGAAGATATAATGGAAAAGAAAATCCTATTTATAATAGCAGCACAAAAATTAAATATCTATGAATAAACTTAATGAGAACTGTCCAACTGTTTAAAATCTACATTTCAAAAATATAAAAGGACATCACTCTTGGAAGACACAAAAATAGATTGGAACAAACAGAAAGACATCTCTTCTTCTTGGTTAGGACA